GCATACATTTTTTTCTCTCCAAAAAGCTACTTATTTGTCGAAATCGTCGATATCGGATAACTATAGCATATAGCTGCCATACAAACTGATCGACCAAAATCAAGATAATGGTTTTTTACACCCTTTTTTCCTATAAAAAATGTATTTGTAAAGGGTATTAAAATTTCGGTCCTGCCGAAGTTAACATTTTTTCTTGTTTTTCTTATTAGTCGAAAGAAAGATTCATATCGCAGTATCTACAATTTGAAAAGAATAGCTCGCCTCTAATATTTGTAGGAAATTGCATGCTCTACAAAAATGCTCTCATACAATTTCTTCGTAAGCCACAGCATTCAAAAATGATTAAAGATATATATAATAACATGAAAGAAAATAGCTAGATATAGAAAATTTTCTTGACCCACCCTAATAGGTATGTTTTTTTTTGTTAAAAAAACTATTCTTATTACTTTTTATAGCTGACGTCTTTAGCTGGCGGCTATAAGCTAAGCAAGCAAATATTTATAAGCACGCATGCTGTTGTTGTTATTGTTATTATTCTACAATACTATGTTAAGCAAATTAATTTCAAATTAATTTAATTGTTGTGGCCAGCTGTGCTGTGACGGTAGCTTAAAAGGATTCTCAAGCTGTTCATTGAAGCAGACACACAAACATAAGTACATACATACATACAAAAAATATACAAATAAATATACATACAACCAGTTGAATATATATTATATATTCAAGTGTATGTATATATTCAACTATTTGATACATTTGTAAATTAAAGCGAATGCTCAATTGATTTGCAAGTCACTCTATAAATCAATTAATCGAAAGTATTACATACATACAAACAAACAAATCGGTATGTCCGTTCCTATAAATAAACTGTCTATGGAAATGAAAGGGATTGTAGATGAATAATTTTAATTGTAGGGAGAATGTTTCGGTTGTTAATTGCATTAAATGTCATTATGTTTGGCTACTAGGGTGACTCATGTCAGAGTGTCGTTCAACAACGTAAGTGATATACATTCCTACATGTACATTTTTATTTAAGAAGTTTGAAATAGTTTTACTAAACAATTTTCATATTTTTACTGTTAATTTGAATGAATTTTGAAGCTTATTTATTTTATTTCTACTTTCTTAACGTTTGTGATCATATATAAAGGGTATTTCAATAAGAGTGATATGATTAAAAAAAAAAGACACACACTTATTGTAAGAAAATTCAAATTTTTATTTTATTTGAAGTCCAAACGATACAATTAAGTTCTGAATATAACATCATTCAAATGGCCTCCACGAAGGTAGGAATGGAACCTATTTTCGAGTATTTTTTCCACTAAATCAAGTTGTATGTCATGTACATCACGTTCAATATTCACTTCTAAAGCTTGAAGAGAGTCTGGTTTATTGCTAAAGACCAATGACTTCAAATAACTCCACAAGAAGTAATCTAATGGTGTTAAATCATAACTTCTTGGAGGCCATTCAATGTCACAATTTCTTGAAATTATCGAATCTCAAAACTTTTCTTGCAATAATTCGGTTGTTGCACGTGCTGTGACGTCTTGTTGGAACCAGATGTTGTCAAGATCAACTTATTCCAATTGTGGCCATAAAAAGTTGGTTATCGTCGATCTATACCGCTCTCCACTGTCAGTAACGGTGTTACTAGCTTCATTTCGAAAGAAGTACGGACCGATAATTCATTCCATCAGACCAAAAATGACACCAAACTGTCAATTTAGGTGAATTTAATGGTTGTTAATGAATAATTTGTGGATTTTCTTTGCACCAGAATCGATAGTTTTGTTTATTTACCGCACGATTATTACGACCATAAAATGGCAGAAGCGCACGAAAAGTTGCAATTGAAGAACGAATATTCTGATAATAAAATTGAAAAATTTGTAAACGTTGTTCTTGTGTACATATATCTTTCCATGATGAAACTGTAAACATTACATAACATTAGGTTGGCCGTTATTTCCCTTCCGCTTTTTTGTCTTTTGAATTTCGCGGCTATGTACAAAGCGCTACAGAGCTCGTATCTGACAACACTATACATAATTTGAATGGTCTTGACATAACCTACAAAACAACGCTATGCAGGATTAGTTTGGATATTGCGTTCAACAGTTATAGACGTGTAAACATGGAGTTCACTAACGCCGAAATTCGCGCTATTTTAAAGTTTTCCTTCGTTAAAGGCAAATCCGCTAGAGAAACGTTCCGTGAGATTAATGGTGTTTTGGGGGATGGTACTCTAACACTTCGAACCGCGGAGGAATGGTTTCGACAATTCAGAGCCGGTGAAAACGACACCATGGATAAGCCAGCCGGCGGAAGACCTGGGACGACAAATACCGATCAAATCATGGAATACATCGAGTTAGACCGGCATATGGCATCTCGTGACATCGCCCAGGAGATGAGAGTTAGTCACCAAACCATTTTGAACCATCTGCAGAAGGCTGGGTACAAAAAAAAGTTTGACGTTTGGGTGCCGCATAATTTGACGCAAAAAAACCTTCTGGACCGAATCAACGCCTGCGATATGCTGCTGAAACGGAACGAACTCGTCCCATTCTTGAAGCGGATGGTGACTGGCGACGAAAAATGGATCACATACGACAATATCAAGCGAAAACGGTCGTGGTCGAAGGCCGGTGAATCGTCCCAAACAGTGGCCAAGCCGGGATTGACGGCCAGGAAGGTTTTGCTGTGTGTTTGGTGGGATTGGAAGGGAATCATCCACTATGAGCTGCTCCCATATGGCCAGACGCTTAATTCTACCATCTACTGCGAACAACTGGACCGCTTGAAGCAGGCGATCGACCAGAAGCGTCCAGAATTGGCCAACAGGAAGGGTGTAGTGTTCCACCAGGACAACGCCAGACCACACACTTCGTTGATGACTCGTCAGAAGCTACGGGAGCTCGGATGGGAGGTTTTATCGCATCCACCATATAGCCCGGACGTAGCGCCAAGTGATTACCACCTGTTCCTGTCCATGGCGAATGCCCTTGGTGGTGTGAAGTTGAACTCAAAAGAGGTTTGTGAAAAGTGGCTGTCCGAATTCTTCGCAAATAAGGAGGGGGGCTTCTACGAGGAAGGTATTATGAAGTTGCCGTCTAGATGGAAAAAGATCATCGAACAAAACGGCGCATATTTTAACTAAATCCGATCACTGTAACACTTTTTATAAAGAATTGAATGAAGAGCAAAAAAGCGGAAGGGAAATAACGGCCAACCTTATATAATGAAAAAAAATTACAGATTATGACATATTAAATATGACCGAAATGACACTTAGAAATCATATCACTCTTATTGGAAAACCCGATATACATAACCCTTTTGGTTTTTATCTTCTCTTTTTCGCAATTACAAAAAACTAAACGAAAGGCTGGACATATTATTTCTGAAATAGTCTTGAAATATAGCTAGTGATAGTTAGCTTACTGACCGGCGATAGCCATTAAGGACAGGTTACTTATATTCCCATGTGTTTTCTCGTCGGATTTGTGCTCATGACCAACTAGTTGATAGTTGCTACTACAATAAATAAATATTTCTAGAAAATAATAATTTGGGTCCAAGAGGGAGACAAAGTAATTTGATGACAGTAAATAAAGAAAATGACAATTTTTGGTTTTGTCTTCAATATTTCAAAAACTTAAAAATATTTTTGATGATCAAATCATCCTCAAATGAGATATACTTGTATGTATGTAATATAAACCCAACCAAAGAGACTAAATTGAGTATATTAAGGCGATGTGCAAAACATCGCAACCAGAAGATCGAAGTTGATGTTATTAGTGATATGGAATTTAGACCAAGGCCTAGACCAACTTCATTCATGTTCAGCGCTAAACAATTAATATTATTAGGTTTGTAAGAATAACGAAAATCATGGGAGTTTGGCTTATAGCTGAGTTAATTTTGCTAAGATATCTTACATATTGATCAATATATATGATATAAAACCAACCGGAAGTTTGAAAATCTTTTATTGTTTTATCGATATTATATTTTAAGTCATTGAACCGATTTTATCTATCTTTGGCATGGCTACATAAAAAATTAAAATAAATCTTGCATTATAATATTTTAAAATATATTAAAATATAAAGTTATTATTATTTAACTTTTCTAATAAATCTGAAACTGATTAAACCTTTGGCAAATTTTTACTTTTTTAATTGTTTCATTGTATATAAACTATGTATATATACTATATAAACTATGAACAAACATGTGTTTTTGTAGCCAGTTTCTAAAGTACTAATTGATTAATGACGCCATCAATGCTACCAAGAATTTTATTATTCTATACAATTTGTATTTTCTTGTTTATATATGTACATATGTATGTATCAATTTATGTATATATATTTATTGTAACTCCCCTTCAAGCTCTGATTACTATTATTAACAAAAAATAATAAAAGCTTGATTAACGGAGCTATTTTTGGAACTCATCTTCGTTAGCCTTAAGCTTTGTTTGCGTGCATACCAGTGCAGAGATTTATAAATATATACATATACATATGTATTTTTATCAAGATATACCTGTATATTGTTCTAAAGCGCATGATCATTTGGAAAATACCCAAGAAGAACAACAGACCCAATAGTCACAAAGCTTCGGTACAAGGTTATTTGGTACAACCTATATGAGAGCCAAAAATTACATATGTATGTGTGTATTTATGTGAATGGCTATATACATATGTAAATATTCATAGTTTTTTTTTCAACTTTATTTTTAGCCAAAAATCTGTAAGTTAATTATGTCAGTTAATAAGCCAGCACAGATTGGCCTACAAAACGCTGCTATATTGGTGCTGAGAGAGGGGGGAAGAGCGGCCAAGCGAACGGCTTAGTGTTTATGCTCACGTAGAGAACGAGAATTAGCTTGTATAAATACAAACAAACATAAATAAAGTTGGAATCCCAAAATGAAAAAAATGTAAACAAATCCGTTGACTACTCACCTCTATGTGTTGTTGTTGTTGCCGTTGCAGCCGCTTTTGGATTTGGTGATTTTGCTTCCACACCGCTGTTGCCGATTATTTCGCGTGCACTTTTGTTGTTGGCCCCAGCGCTTGCCGTGGCGGCTGCATTAGCCGGTTTCAATGCGCACAACAACAATAATGTTGTGCCGAGCAGCAGCAGCGACGCCGACGGCAGCGTTATTGTAGACTTGCGCGCAGCGACGCGTGTTGTGGCAGTGAACTCACAGCGTTGACGGCGTTTGTTGGCGTGTGTGTTGTTGTTGTTGTTGTTACACATGACGTCACAATCGGTTGTGTTGCTAATTGTTTGGCTTTTGTTGTTGTTATTGTGCTTGCTACTGCTAACGCAGTCGGTGTTAATTTGATTTATGACACTGGCACACATTTTTGCATCGCCAATTTTTTCCGAGCGCATCCAGAGTGTGTTTATGTGTATATATGTGAGCATATGTGTGTGTACGTGCGGGTGTGAGTTTCGCACGATTTTTTTCGTTTAATAATTTTATTAGCTTTTTTTTGGTAAATAAGCAATTTACGACAGCGTGGTTTAATAGCTTTTCTGCAATAAAGTAAATAAAATATTTGCATGAAATAAATATGAGTTTGTAAATATGTATGTACATTTGTATAGGTATATAAAATTGTTTATTAATATAATATATATCTTTTGTATTGTAACTATCATTAACAGTAATTATCTACTTATTTGATATCTGAATAAGTGTACATAAAAATATGTCTATGACTGTAGACATGAAAACATTCTGCTACAAATTTAATTCATTAACCAAAAATTAAAAAAAAATTATATTTTTAGAAAATAAATAATTTTTAAACTTTTAATAAATTCTGCTATAATAATATATTGTCTCGCGACTGATTGTTATATCAGCAATAAGCCTCATTACAGACTTTGCTTAGTTATACTAGATTGAATAAGTAACACGAAATTGGAAAAACAAAAATAAGAAAAAACGTTAACTTCGGCTGCACCAAAGCTATAATACCCTTCACAGGTGCATTTCTTATAGCATTAAAATGTATAAATATACTTTTATCTTAATTACGATTGGCGAATTTGTATAACAGCTATATATTATAGCAATCGCATAATTTTTGCGGAGATTGTAGCGCTGCCTTTGATAATAACCTATACCAAGTTTCGTAGAGATATCTCGTTAAGTAAAAAAGTTTTCTGTACAACAACTTGATTTAGATCGCTCAGTTTGTATGACAGTTATATGCTATAGTAGTTCCATCTGAACAATATATTCGCAGATTGTAGCACTGCCTTCATCAATAATCTGTGCTAATTTTCGTAAAGATATCTCGTTAAGTAAAAAAGTTTTCCATACAAAGACTTGATTTTGATCGGTTATTTTGTATGGCAGCTATATGTTATAGTGATCCAAAATCGGCGTTTACGACAAATGAGCAACTGCTTAGGGAGAAAAGGACGTGTGTATACAGACAAACAGACGGGCAGAAAGTGTGGCATGGCTTATATAGAATATAATATTATGTATATACTTTATAGGGTCTTCGATGATTTCTTCTAGGCATTACAAAATTCGTTGACAATTTAATATACTCTGTTCAGAATATAAATATAGTTTTGCTTAAAAATCCTTATTTGGACCATTTGTGATGGATTTTGCAGTCACTGCAATTTTTAGTTCCGCAACTGGCAGTTATGACGAATCATATACTCGCTGGTTATGTGTTTATACGTCAGTAATTTTAACAAGCCTTGATTGCTAAGTCGCTCATCGATTAGAGAAATGAGTTAACAATTAAATTCTAAGTTGAATAATTTCTTATTTTTATTTAAAAAGTAAATGCTTTTAAATCAATATATAAGCAAATAAGAATAGTTTTTTTATTTTCATTTCAGGCAACATTTTGTAACCTATTAGTTTTTTTCGACAGCTGGCCACTCTATGATAAATAATTTCTAAATATAATACTGCCGAAGATAGTTGTCTCAATATTTTCTCAAATATTTGCGCATCTTCTATAATATTTTACTCAGTTTCATTAGGTCATGGCAACTCTAATCTTAAGGATTGTCGATAATATATAAATTTTTTAAATCCCTCTAGAAGCAATTTAGTTCCGGTAAATATTCAGAAAGTCTTACAATTATATTAACCGGAAGTAAATTGCTTCTAAAGGGATTTAAAATATTTTAATGAGAAATTTAAAAAAATGTTAGAAATATTTTAGTCATGTCTTGAAAATCTTAAAATTTTAAAATAATATTTTGAAGACTCTAATTTGCAGTTTTTGTATTTTATGTTTTTTAACAAACTCTAATCTCCAAAAAAAAACATAAAAAATTTAAAAATATAGTCAAGGCCTATCGTGTGGTACTTCTCGCTGTGAAATTTTTTTCTAAAAATTCTTAACTTGACTGATCATGTGTCCCAGTTAGGCCGGAACAGTTAGCAAAGACATCTGCTTCTTAAGGGAGTTCACATCTCACTAATAGACCAGGGTCGGTAATTTTTGAAAACAAAAAAAATCATAGTAGGATGAAACCCATTGAAAAAAGTGGATAAACTAAGGAAAAAGAAAAAATAATAATTTCCCGACATTCTGAGGTCCGGAAGAGGTAGAGAAGGAATGATTGAATTTTTAAGGGTTTAAAACGCTGTAGTTCGATTTCCGGCAAAATGACTAATTGTGGTTCTAAACTATAATTTAACCATAACTACGAGGCAACTCTGTATCAAAATGTATTAAAATGGAAGACTGCTCGAACGCTTATCGACCGAAAAAAAGAAAATTTACACTTCACTAATAATAAATTGCGTCATCATCCACCATTATTATGCTGTTAATCAGAAACACTTTCTTAAGATATCCGACTGTAAATATGCGTGACCAGATAAGAAGACACCTCAAAAATTTCACGACAATTGTGTTTACGGCTAGTTATTAAGAGACTGATGAAATTACTAAGTGATATAATGAGCAAGTAAATTGAAAGACTGCCTTTTTATGGCTTTAATGAGTTCGGTTGTAAAAAGATCCTAATCGGTTTCTTTATTTAAAGTGGCAACTATGCATGCTTATAATACATGCACGTATCTACCCAAAATAACTTGTTGACACAAGTTGTTGGCGTTGTTGTAATTTTACGTTTGTCAAAAGTGTGAAGTCCGTAATTAAGTAATAAATATGTCATAAACAAATTTTGCGAACAATTTGAAAGCAAAACGAGCAAAAGAAAATTACAAACACAAAACACATAAAAAAAATAAACAATCGAAAAGTCAAAAGAGAAAGGCAAATATGCAAATACGAATGACCTTGTCTCGAAATGCAAAACAATTGATTTGAAACAACTCATTTTGAAGTGATTAAAGAAAGTTGTAGATGATGTATTTTCAGCCAGCGATGAATTGACGCGTCTAAAAATAGTGAAATCGGTGCTTATTATACTTTTTGATAATGAAAAATGAATTTGAGGCAGTTGAATGCTTGTATTGCCATTGGGTATGGAAATTATTCTGAAATTATGATGAATTTGTATTAATTTTAGGTGGATTTGTCAATGAAATCGATGAGCTCAGGTCATTGGTAGAAATCTGCGAGCGTTTTTATTTGATTTAAGCAAATATTTCTTTTACTACACTTCTTTTTTTAACGAAGATAATTTCGAGTTTCTTGTCTGACATTAGAAACTTTATTACACATATTTTCTAAAAATATCTTTTTGGTTCAGTGACTATAGCGACCTCAAAGAGAAATGATTCCAAGAGCCTTCATGTTGTAAAAACAATTATGGAGCGATCAATGTTATTGCTTCAATTAGTAGAAAAAGTGGATCGACTGTATTTAAAAAAAATCAGCTTGAAGAAACCACGTTGAGTTTTGAATTGGAATAATCAAAGACAAATCCACTATTTGCCTAGTATGCTATGTGAAACTCTACGCATGCTGCAAAGATTTTTTAAACTTCTTCTTTAAATAACCTATATATATCTATTTAGCTAAATTTTATTTTATTATATTACCAGTTTGAAACTAAATCTGGTAGTCTCGCAAAGATTTGTAGATTGGTAGTACTATGAAACTTGATTTTGAATTCAATAATAAGTACAGACACATACATTGTTCTGCTCCTACATAAAACCAATCTTAACAAGGAAGGTGTTATTTTAAATATACGATTTTGGGTCACATGACAAACATTATTATTATTATTATTATTTAAATGGACATGTACATTTTTCTTTTCAAAATTTCCGAAACAACCTCTGTTAACTCAAGCATAGAAAATTTGGCATTTGATACTGTTGTGATGGTCGGTTTGGAACTTTGGTAACTTAAGCAATGTCACATACCTACTTAGTAAATTAAAGTTAAAGTTAACACTTAGAAGGTTATACTACATTAATTTAATATTTTCCAAGTAGAGTTTGGTGTCCGTATCCTTTCGGCGCTCATAGCAAACTGATGTAAACAAGGAAGATGTTAGTTTAAAAATCTCAACTAGCTTCACATAACAAACATAATTTTTATGAACATGATAATACTACTGAGCATATTATTAAGCAAAAATCTTAAAACTACTATATTTGAATTTATAAAAATAATAATTTTTCTTTTGTAATTGCGGGTTTCAAACTCTGATGTCAAGTATAGACATATACCCTGAAATGTTTGCCTTACGTATACTCTTTCTAACGTCCTATCGCAACGGCATTGCTACTGTGAGTCCATATTGCGTAGTTAGTAAAATTAAAGCGGTCATTTCTTTTGCAATAAACAGATTACTAACAAGTTTTATTTTAAATTATTTTTCCTAGAATTTCACCTTTATATTGCTAAAAAATCGCTAAGAAATTATTGCAATAACAATAATGTAAGTTTGTATAATATTATCAGCGTCTAGCGCTTGCTTATAAATATTTACAACATTGCACACGTGATAAGCAACGGCTAATGTGCGACAAAAGTATATGAGTTTGATGTTTGGTTTTTTCACTCCAGATATTTTCACGCTTTATCTCATCTCAGCGTCTATCTGTAGTTTCCCAGTCACCGTTTATTGCATTAGCATAACTATATATATGATTACTAATCATTTATAAACGGAAGTAGAACAGCACGAAGAGTGCTTCCCCACTCAATAGCATTGGTCACTAGCTAGTTCAAAGTCATTGCGATTCCAAAACTATGACGTATTTGTTATAGTTGCTCATAAATAAATATAAATGTAAATATATACTCAATTCAGCGGCCGGCAAATCTCAACGTTAGATATTTATTATTTTGTTAAATAAGTTTGTTTCTCAAAATATTTTTCTACTAAAATTATATCTACAAAAATGCATATTTTTTAAATAAACTAGTTCATACTAAGCAATGCGTCTATAAGACAAGGCAAATAAAGCGATTTGTTTTGACAAGTTTGTTGTGTAGACTTATTGCAAGCGCTGTCATAAAGATTGCCGAAGTTCAAGCGAAAGTTATGAAACTAGCGAAACTAACAGGTGTATAAGATAACTCGGAGATTATCACGTTGTAAATGCATTAAGGTATTTGCAT